AAAAGAGAAATCATAAATTTTAGAGTTAAACTAGGAAATATATAAATTATGTCAACTTGAAATGAAATAGAGGGAGTGGAGAGCGAATCACTAAAGTTGTAAAGATCAAAAGCTCGCATTGTCCCCTATAATATTTTTTGGAATGAAAACAATGAAGCCATTGATTGTATGGCTTTGATAAATATTGTATGATTGCAAATAGATCATATCATAACATAAGAAGCTTAATATGAGTTTTCCTTATCTCATTTGTAATTATGTCTCATTGATAGGTGACACAATGGAAAAGCTTTCATTCAGTTTCCTTCCATGTCTTCCATGTTCTCAAATATAATAAAGAGAATTTATATGTTTGTTATTTAATTGATCTTGCAACTCTATGGGATAAAATCCTCAATATAAATTGGAGTAATACGTCAATCAATTATGTGATTTGGTGGTGTAACATTTAGTATCAAAGTTTTAAATATGCGTGTCACACGATTGGAGGTATAGGATCATGCAAAAGTTTTAAAAGCCAAAAAATGCAACCATATAAGGGACGTATAGGAGTTTTGTGTCCTTTTTGTACATTGTAAGAATGATCAAAACTATTTGTGCATGTCTAAATGCTTGAAATCAAACTCCCGTTAGCAGTACCGAGCAGCGGTACCGATCAAGGGGTGACATGACGTATTCTGGTTGATCTACGGACAATATTCGGCATCCGCACATAATAATTTTTCCCTGTTATAAGGATAAATGCGGAGCTTATGCTTTTACACTAATTGTGGCTTAAGCATGACCTAAGATGGGGGAGATGAATTGGGTTATTAAACAATTTAATATAGTTTATGCAGTAATTTTTTTTAGATTAATAATTTAAATTTTAGAATAGAGGACAATATATTAATGCATGAAAATATTTGCAATGTTTGATTCATAATAGTTAACGCTGGCGTATCAACGTTGGATTAACAACAAACCATATAACGCAAATCTAAATTAATACAACAAAGATCTTCTCATAAGAATTCTTTTACATCCAATTTCTTTTACGATCTCCCACAACTTCCCCCTCACCCTCCCCTTCCATGCACGCCACCCTCACCGAAGCCGATCTCTGCTTCATCAGCTGCAAAGCATTAAGCGGCGGCGCTAAAACCGAAACTTCTCCCACCACCTCCACCTCTCCCTCCTTCATCATCCTCTCCATCCCTTCCTTTCCGGCCAACTCCGCCGTCATAAACCATCGTGCCAAATCACAGCCCCCTTCCTCCCCTTCTCCTTCCTCCTCCCCGTCACTGTCTCCGGTAACCAAATCCCGCGGTGACCGGCAACAACGGATGGCACCATCAACGAACATGGAACCTCGCAGCGAGCTGGTCAACGACCTGACCAGCGTGTGCTTCTTGTCCCCTTTGCTCTCCGCTGGCCCCTTCACCACGGCCCGCTCCTTGACCCGCCCAGCGCAATTCACCTTTGGCGACGTGGGCTCGGAGCAAGTTGGGCTATTCTTGTCCCGAAAGAAGAGGGACCTCGGCCGTGAACGCTGGCGTGGAGTGGATTCGGCTGACTTTGATGGGTTGAAGATGGGCTGATGTATTATTAGGGCCATCAGATGGGCTCCTCCCGCTCTTTTTGCTTTCAATTCCATGGCTCGTCGTGGCCTGTCTTCGTATTCCTCCTCATCTATGCCTTCAGGATGGTTATAAGGGAGGAGGGAAGGGAAAGCACAAAGTACCTTCTTGGCTTAGATTATTAGGTTCCATTAATTATCCAAATAGGAATTATATCGTTTACCACTACATTGTTTGGGCCGGCTGTGACTTGGTCATATTTTATGGTGGGAAAAATGTGATATTATAATATAAATTTAATAGAGTCAAAGGATCAAAATGATCTGTGGCTATTTAATCATTTGATTTTTTAAATAGAAATTTAAATGATCTTAACGAAGAATTAATTTGATCTATATTTTAAGATTTAATAAAGATAATTATAAAACTGCTATGAAGAAAATAGGTTTATTAAAAGTTGCTATAGAAATCAGTTTCCTAGAACAAAATTAAAAAAAAAATATTGAAAAAATTACGGTTAAATAAAAATTATGATTGTAATATGAAAAGTAAAAGATTAAATAAGATGTCTCAAATAAAATCTAAATTGATACTTTATATAATCAGAGATTATTTTGGGCACTGCATAAAAGTCAAAAATTTTGGTGTCTTTTTCTCAAATTAAATTAGTTTGAATATAAATTTATGTTATATTTATTTAAAAATAAATCTAATAATGGTAAGACTCGTTAAATAAAAGCATACTCAGTGTACGTAGAGCGCCTGGCCATACCCGCACGAAAATTACAGTGGATTACAGCGAGTAAAGCAAACCAGGTCTATAAATCACCTACAATTATTGTTGGTTCTGAAACTCTTTTAAGTTAGAAGACAATATAACAGAACAAAACAAAATTTCCTGTTCAATAATCTTTTAATTCTTGCGATGCTTCATACTCGCAGACTATAATTCTAAATCTGATTTATACTTTTTTATGGAAGGAGAGGTTATTACGTGCATAGATCGGATATAGAGAATCGTTCGATTTTATCTCAGTAAACAGTAAAAGTGCAGTGATGCATAGTTACAGCGCAGCTCAATGCTCTTTTACTGCTCACAAAAAATTTTCTAACAGTTCTCTACGTCCAATCTCTGCACATAATAATTTCTTGTTTGAAGCAACTTTCTTACTATTTCACTTTTAAGATTGCAATCAAAATTTCTTTTTTGCCAATATTTTTTGGCTACTTTCAAAAAAGTTTTATATTAAAAAATTGTTTTCTAAAAGACCATTCAAAAGTTAATTTTTCTAAACAAATATTAAAAAAACAATAAAAAAATTGTCCTAAACCAAACCTCAATTTTACTCATACTAGTAGCAATAGAATTAGGTGGAGGGAAGCACTAGCCTTTACCATCCCCGTAAACTAATTATTTTGTTGATCTAATTTTTTATAATTATATATTATATGAAATTTCATTAATCTAAATTTAGGATAATCCTTTTAGCCAATGCTTGGAATCTTAATTTTAATACTGAGTATAATAATTAAAATCCAATTAATAAAAATTAATTTTTTGAAGTATATATTTTTGACCAATTTTCTGATTTTTTTTTTTTTAATCCAACCAGAATATTATAAATAAGCCAAAAAGAGGTAACAACAACAAAAGTAATAAAAAAAAACAAACTAGCAAAAGAGAAGACCAAACAACAGAGATAAAAAAAGCTAAAAACGAGCTCAGAAATTAGTCAGGGCTTCCAGCGTCCACGACGTCCCGCACGGACCCTCCAGTAAAGTGTAGAAACGTCCATCCACACCAACGGTTGCCACCAGCAAACACGACCGGGACGCGAGCCCCGACCCCATCATTGCTCTTAGCCTCAAGAAGCAGCAAATCGAACAGGAAAGCTGAAGTTACCCGAGAATAATCAGCAAGAAAAACCAAATAACGATACGAGAAATCATCTTCTACGTCGACCTCTCCCCCAAAATTTCCCTCGAGTGGCAACATTTGAAGTATGCACCAGGGCAAAATCATGATCGGTCTCAAGAGATTCAGACTCCGAGTCAACATCCGACGAGTCAATTAACCAATTAGTTTGGTCCCTAATCTCCAAACCAGAGGACTTTCTCACACAGTTAGCCATCACATGTGTATCCACTTCAGTCACATGCACCTTAACTAAATTATTTGCAATCGGAAGAACTTCCTCTGTACCCAGAAGCGGAAGTTCCGCCTCGATCCCAACCGGAACCACATCATTAGACACAAAACCAACATCACCACCATCCGAATCCTTTAAAACTTGAACACCCCCAATTGAATTCACAACACCTAGGACCGGCGAGCCATCAGAATTCACAGCATTCACCTCAACAGAACCCGCCTCCGGCATCAAAACAAACACCGGAGAATCCACAATCACATCCTCACGATCACCACCATCCAGAAAAACCGATGGCATAAAAGGAATAGCATTAGGAGATAATAAAAAATCGTTAGCAGAAACTGACCGATTAACACCATCGCCCACTTCAACCGGGCAAACACCCACATAATCAACCAAAAAAATAGGAGAATTATTTTTCCCCAACACAGTTTGATCCATCCCAGTATTCTCAATTTCCGAAGTACAAGCAATCGGGCCAGGGCTGCTATCAACATTAACAGATAGAGGGTGAACCGGAACATTGACCTCAGAAGAAGGAGCACCAAACCCACCCTCATCAACAATATTAAGATCTGGCAGAACAACAGCAATAGAAGAGTGTTCAGGTAAAGACTTAACCACCACATTCGACGGGCTATCCACAGGAACACAAACATCCAGCGAAATAGGAGGAGGCGCAGAAACAAGGTTAGGATGCAAAATTTTACAACCGGACTTCGAATGACCCAAAGCAGAACAATGAACACAATATTCAGGAAAATCTTCAAAAAACACATTTTGGACATAACCAAGACAATCAAATCCAATCCAGATTTTGTCCGGGTAGTGTTTGGACACATCCAATTCAACTAAAACGCGCACAATGGAAGGTCTCGATCCCGTGGAGGTAGCATTGTCAGTTTTCAGCGATTTGCCAAAAATAGAACCAAGACCATGAAGAATCCGAGTAGCAAACAAATGGGGTCGGAGGTTAGGAAAAGAAATCCATATGGGAATGACTGGGGATTCGACCTCAATGTCCAAAGAGGGAGACCATTTAATCAATTTCATGAAACAGTTACTCACAAAATACGACCTATGAGCAAATATCCTACAGTAGTCTAGGTCGTTAAACAACTTAATCAAAACATTACGATGATTCAACACAGTAACAGAAACCTCACCATTTAGTTTGAGCTTAAAGAAAAAACTCCTAATGGCCTCAAGAGAAGGTCTACGGCTCAGAAATTTACCAACAAGAGCAAATTCGAATGGAGCAGCCAGCGCTTGAATTTTAGCTTCCGAAATCCACAGCGCCGGCAAGCCACGGTGAGAGGAGATCTTAAGATCGGAAAAAACAGTCGAAGAGGGCGACGAACCAGCAAGTGCTTCCTTAAACGATAGGGAAGAAGAACCAACCAAAAAACCAGGATCCCTAAGAGGCGCCATAAAGAAGAACAGACAAAAAAATACATGCGAGAAACAGCAAATAAAAACTCCCCCGAACAGCACAGCAGCAGCAAATCGGAGAAGACGAAAGGCGGCTAGGGCAAAAGCCCTAGCCCTTTCCCGGGAGCGAGAGAGACATAAAGCTCTAATAAAACTTCGATGAGTTAATGCCAATTTTCTGATAATCATATATAAATTAGATATAAATTTTAATTTAAACGATGCAAATGTTAAACAGCTTTGTGTAAATTATCAAAGATTTTTGCTATCAAACTCTTGCATTGATATTCAAAATGTAATTTTCGTAAATTTGAAATTTGGATTAAGGTTTTTTTTTTTTAATTTTTTTTATCATTTGATATGTTAGATTTTTTTCGAATAATATTTAAGAAATAAGAAACAAAATGTAGCTAGCAAGAAACTAAGACTAAACCATAATTGATCAAATCTATCACAAAAACTTATTCTGATAAAGTGTAGTTGGGTCCTGAGAAATTTGATTATATTCAACAAGTTATTATTGAGGCTTTTCTTCCTTTTTGTTCTTCATGTAGACGTATAGGACATGTGAATGGTGATTGCCGCCCTCATCTGTCTTCTGCCCGCCTACTACTATTCCTAATGCTTATAAACCTGTTAATGTTAATGTTAGTTGTGAGGGGAATAATGTTGTTGTCTTGGATAGTTTGAATAATTATGCTATTTTTTCCTTGCTTCCTTCTCTGCCTATTAACAATAGGGTAGTTAAAATTGATTCTTGCGATGCAAATATTGTTTTTGAGATCTTGCTAGTGAGTTTGGGGGTTCTTTTGAGGTGTTTGGGATTTAGTTTTTATTTTTGTGGGTTGCTTTTTGGTTGCTCTTTATTGACTTGGTTGGACGCCTGGTGATTTTGCTTCTTTCCTCTTGCAAATTATTATATAGTATCCTTGATGGCTCCTCCTGCTGTTTGGCTGGTTTGTTCGTCTTTCTTCCTATATGTGGCTTCTCCTGTTTGATATAGCTCTTCTTGAACTTTGTTGGATGCAGGTTGCTGACCCTTTTGTTTGGTTTGTCCTTGGGATTAGCTTTATTATGTTTGTTTGGTTTTATTGTTTAGTTGTAATAGATAGAACCAGTAGCTCTGAGGTTTTATTTCAAAGGCTATATGTTTAGCTGAGCTTATGGCTCTTTAAAGACTTGTAATTCTCCTTTTTATTTAACTCATAGGTCTCTCCGGAGGTTTTAACCAAAAAAAAAAAAAAAAGTAAATTGTTAATTAAGTTCATGCTAAATTAAACACATTACATTATGCAAGTTGGAGCGCTAATGCTCAGATCTTGATTTGAATAATTGGCTCTGCTAATTTTTTTTTTTTTTATAGTAATTTAAGCTTTGGAATAAACATCTTACAAGTCATGTAGAGTGAGCTATCGAATAGCTTTCGAATTAGCAGAGTTCCTATCAGCAAGAAGTGTTCGAACAATAAAAGTATTCATGTCCCTTCTATTAAA